ATATAATAAAAATACTCTTGTTATAGCGAATTGGCCAATCAAATCTCTTAAAATCTTTACTATAGCCTTATAGCGAAATTGAGGTCTAGGACATAGAGTTCGTTATAACAAGAGTTGATTGTATTTATTATACAAAAAAATCATATAAAAAATCATGTTTTAGAGATCATAATTTAGATCTAATTTTAAAAATATGCGAATATATTTTTATTTTATAACAAAAGCAAATCATATAATATTACACAAATTTTCAAAAAATTTTTTGAAAATTTATATAATTATTTTACATTTTAATTATAATTATTTATACAAATAATCTAAACATGACTATTATACATAAAAAAAAAATTATTATATTAATAAATTTTAAAACTTAATTTTAAATTAAATTATTTAAAAACTTTTAATAAAGTTAAATTTTCTAAGAAAGTTGATAAAATATATATTAAATTATATTTTTTATATAATAATTATATTATTAAAATTAAAATTTTATATTTTATTAAAAATTAATATTTTTTTTTTAAATTTACTTAGTTTATAATTTAAGAAATAATGAGATCTAAATCAGCCTATATAGTAAATATTATTTATAAGTTTTTTTTTTAAATAAGATTAAAAGACTTATTCTATTTATTTAAATTTGTTTAATTATATAAATAATTAAAGTATATATATTGATTTATTATTATTATTAAAACTTTAAAAAAAATAATATATATTAATAATTAAATAATTGTAAATTTTTATTTAAATATATTTTAATTTAATAAAAAATTATTATGATTTTTAATTTGCAACTTAACTTAACTCAACTTATTAAGAATTTTAATTATTAAATTTAAATAGTTAGTTTAATAAATTATTTAATTTAATACTGATTATATTAAGAAAAATAAGTAAATTAGTATATATTTTTAAATGTAATTAAAATCTTTTTATTTTAGATTATATTTAAAATATAATATATTTGCAAAAAATATTTTAAGTATCATTTTTTAAAATTATTAAAATTGAAAATAACTTAAAAAAAATGGTTTAATTTAAATTTTTAATATATTAGTTTATTAATAAATTTAAAAAGTTAAAATAATATATATAAAACTTTAATTTAAGTTAATAATGAATAATCTTAAATAAATTTATTATTATATTAAATATTATATAAAATTAAAATAAATATTATATTTTAATTGTTTAATTAAAAATTAATTTTATTATTAAAAGAATAACTTTTATTTTTGTAAAAATTATATAAATAAAATTTTTATTAATATATTTAATATTAATAATTAAATATAAAAAATAAAAAAATTTAAATTTAAAAAAATTGAAATATATAAAAAATATTTTAATTTATGAAAGAGATAATTATTATTATGAATATAAATTTTATAAAAAAATTTAAAGCAATATAAATAGTTATTAATATAACAATTATTTTTATAAAATTAGAAAAAGAATTAAATATATATAATATTATATTAAAAAAAAAAAGAGCAGATTAATATAAATTTATTTGTAATTATATGATTTAATGAATAAGATAAGAGAAGAAAAGAAAATTTTTAGTAGTTCTAATGTAAAAAAATATTATTGATTTTTGAAAATCTTTATTATTTAAAAATACTTTATATTAAAACTTGATTTTAATAAGATTATTTTATATTAAAATATTGAACAGAAAATTTTTTTTTTAGTCTTATAATGAATGTTTACCTTTTTAATTCAAGTTATTTTCTATTATGTAACTTTTTTAACCCATTGTTTAAAAAATATTTATTTTGTAATTGGGCTCTATCAATTTCGGTTTCCGACGAAAGATGATGATCAATTGCTAAAATAAATGCTAGATATGCAATGAAGGCGGAATTTTATTTATTAAGGGCTTCATTTGCATTTTCGTGCTTTAAGGATCAAACTTTATACAAGTTTTCATCATATTACTGCATTATCAGAGAAATTTTCTAATCTTTTATGTGTCGTCCAGGTTGAACAAAATCGACGGCTCCGAATTATATAAAAATCTCCCTTTTTTGGCTTTCCGTGTAGCTTTGTCGGATCACCTATAAATATTGATTTTCTCAGAAAATTGTTAGTTGAGCAATTTATTCAAAGACGTTGAACGTCGCGTAAAAAAATAAAAAATTTAAATAAAGCTCCAGAAAATTACAATCTTTACATCTTGAAAGACTTTCTCAAGTCTTACTTTATTTTTTTTATATAAAAAAAAATAAAATAAAAAAAACTAATAATAGTAATTCCATGGTTAATATTATAATATCAGAACAACCACGCTTTTGTTCTCCAATAATAGATCATAACGGTCGAATAACATCATGTGGTTTACATACTCTGGTAGCGAGCACTTTGCTTATCTACATGGTAGTGTTTGGAATTATACGATGGGCATATTTGCGAAATAAACCGAAACGCGACAACTCTTACTTTGTTCATGGTACGAACATCTCTTTTTTTTTTTATGTAGCATTATCCTTTGTACTGTAAAAGATTATCGATTTATTTAATTTATCATGTTCAGATGAAGATGAAGATATTGATCACACGCGTCCGGAATATATTGGATATCCGGATTCTTTCAAAAGTATAGTAAATACTATACATGTTTTAGTGGGTGTATTAGCAATTTTAAACGCATTGCATATTATGTTTATATTTGCTGAAAAAGAACTTGTCGAGACAAGTATACCGTCTTATCTTATCACTTCAGCACTCTTAAGATTAGTTGCATGGATATCAAATTATAGTTTTGTAGCTTGCGAAAGAAATGAAGGTCAAAGATGGAGTTATTTTACTCAAGGATATTGGTATTTGGCCTTTGTTCTATCAAACTTTGAGCTTTATAATCGCTTAATGTATATTACAAATCCGCATGATGATGATGATCAAATTGATTGGACCCAGAGCTGGATCTTAATGTCAATTTACCTTATTCAATACGCGATTCATTTAATATTGATTCTGTGTGCTATTACATTAACTTTCCTTTGGAGACGTTCTAATGAAGCTAATGGATATAATGTTTTAAACTATCATAGTAATCATTATATACCCGTAGATGATGATACAACAACAATAAATGAAGATATTGATATCCCATCTGCAGATGCAGATGTTGAAAGTCCGCTTCTAACACCAAAGTTTCAAAATCCTATTTCAATGGCAGATGATCCTAAATATGCTCCACCAAAAAAAATTGGCGAATTTTTATCAAAATCGAAAAAATTATTACCATTTGTGTGGCCATCACATGATATGAAATTACAAATCCTGATCCTTATTTGTATATTACTCTTGGTCGCCGGTCGAATTGTAAATGTGTTATTGCCTTACCAGAATAAAGTATTAGTCGAAGGTTTGAAAAGTGGAGAATTTGTTTGGAAAGAAATATTATTTTTTGTTGGGCTTAGGTTCTTACAAGGAAATGTAGGTCTAATAAGCACGTTACAAAACTTCTTGTGGATTCCTGTTGGTCAGGTAATAATAACTCACATCACATTTTATATCATAATATAAAAGTAATTTTTAGATTGTAACCTTAATAGAACTTATTTTATAGTTCACAACGCGTGAAATCTCTGTCAAAATGTTTGAACACTTGTTAAACCTTTCTTTGAGATTTCACCTGAACCGTAAAACTGGAGAAATATTAAGGGTTCAAGGTATTTATTAGTACTTCATAAATTACACTATTATTTGCCTTTTCCTAATACATACTATATATTTCTTGTATAGACCGTGGTGTTTCCTCAATTGTATCAATCCTTTCATCGGTTCTTTTTGATGTCATCCCTACGCTTGTTGACATAGCAATTGCCGTGGTTTACTTTACATATGCTTTTGACATTTTCTTTGGAATGATCGTGTTTATGACTATGTCTTTATATTTAGTATCTACTATTATCATGACAGAGTGGAGAACTAAATATAGAAGACTAACAAATCTGTTGGACAATGCTATGGAAGGGAAGGCAGGTGTGTTGTCGATTCAGCTTGGATATTATCATTATCAAGCTTGATGACATATTTTATCCTTACCTGTGTTATTGTGACAATTAACTTTACTTATTCAATTATCATAATAGTCGATTCATTATTAAATTATGAAACTGTCAAGTTATATGCCGCAGAACCATTTGAAGGTGATAAAATATTTGCAATTCAATAAGAATTATTTGTGGTATTCATATGTGTGTTAACATAATAATTTCTTAGTTAAACAATATTCGGATGCGATTCGATCTTATCAACTCGCTGACCAAAAGTCCAATGTAACTTTGTATATACTTAATACGACTCAAAACGTTGTAATTCAGTTGGGACTTTTGGCTGGTTGCCTCTTATGCGCTTCACGAGTGAGAAGGGGTGAAATGAGCGTAGGAGATTTTATCATGTATTTGACCTATATTATACAATTATATGGGCCACTTAATTGGTTTGGAAATTATTATCGAGTAATTCAGAAAAATTTTGTAGATATGGAGAAGATGCTTGATTTACTCCAAGAACTTCCAGAAGTTAAAGATTTGCCTCATGCAGAATCTTTAAATGTTCAGAAAGGAGAAGTTGTCTTTGACAATGTATCTTTCCATTATGATCCGAGAGTTCCAACTCTTACAAACATTTCTTTTGCTATTCCAAGTGGTTCTACCGTAGCTTTAGTTGGCCCATCTGGTGGCGGGAAATCGACAATACTTCGTCTCTTATTTAGGTTTTACGATGTGCAAAGTGGTCGTATTCTTGTTGACGGACAAGATATCAGACACGTTCGACAAAGGGACTTAAGAAGTTGTATTGGAATCGTACCTCAAGTAAGAATTTCCTTATTTATTAAAAGGGGGTTTTTTGTTCATATTTATAAATATATCAATGTCAAACTTTCATATAATTAATTATAGGATACAGTATTATTCAATGATACAATAAGATATAATATTCGTTATGGTAAAATGGGTGCGACTGATAAGCAAGTGGAAGAAGCTGCAGAGGCAGCTCAAATTCATGATAAAATTTTAGGTTTCCCTGAAGGCTATGATACCAAAGTTGGTGAAAGGGGATTGAGACTAAGTGGTGGAGAGAAGCAAAGAGTCGTACGTTCATTTTTAATTCATTTATTTATAGTATATTTAACCGTTAACGGACACAATACTAAGGTGAAATTTAATTATATAGGCAATTGCAAGAACATTGCTAAAGGTAATCCTATTAAGTTTCTGAGCATTTTTGAACCGAATAAAAAGACTAACCTTATATGTATTATATAGAACCCACAAATAGTGTTACTTGATGAAGCGACGTCTGCTCTTGATACTCATACCGAGAGGCATATACAAAAATCATTACGTCGGATGACTGTTAATCGAACAACATTGATAATTGGTAAAATAAAATAAAATAAAATAAATTTTTTTTTCTTTTCAACCCAACTGATCTAAACAATTAATATATTTACTATTTCAATACTTTTAGCTCATCGCCTTTCAACAATTGTACACGCTGACCAAATCCTCGTACTACAGGGTGGCGAAATCGTTGAAAGAGGTAAATGAGTAAATTTTTTGCGTGAATTTCAATAGTTTACTTATCGGTTCGTATCAATTTATAGGATCTCACTTGGAGTTAATGCATAAAGAAGGAGTGTATCATAAACTATGGAATAAACAATTAAAACATCACGAAAAGATGAAAAGGGAGGCAGAGAATAAACAACGCCTTGCTGCATCCGCTTCGACAGCCGCAGCAAGTGTAGCAACTTCCGCTGGAGTTAGTAACATTGTTAACAAGTTTAAGAGGGTAGAGGAAGAAGGTGAAGAGTCTAGTTCAAACATGAGTATAACAGAACAACATAATAATGTGATAACAAGCCCTAATACTACTCTTCGACGAGGTTTAGCAAGTTTTGCTGATGAAGGTGCAGACGGGGATGATGAAAGACAAACTACCACGGCTCATGAAAGTAGTGATGACGAAGGCGAGGAAGTCGAAGAAGTTGATGAAGATCAATAAGTAAAATTATATATCTAAATTAGCTGATGACTTGTCTTCCATAATTTTTTTTCTCTACTTAGTTTCGTCGGACAATAATGGTTACCTAATGTATGCACAATCAATTTTACGTGATAAACATTATTTAACTGAGATAATAGAAATACTTACTTAGAATGTAATTTATAAAAGAAAAAATTTTTTTTTAAATTAATCATTTCGATGTCATAATTAATGTTAGAAATAAATATTTCTTATTAAAAACTCAATAAAAAGAAGTGTATGCCCAAAAACATTTCGAATTTGAAACATTATGGTGAGAAGCTTATCTCAACTCCACAAAAATTTTTAAATGAAATGCTGTTGTTATTTATTTTTAAAAAAATTTTTTTTTTAATACAATATCAGTAAATTTTTTTTTTTTTTTTTTACAGCATTCCTCAATGAGCGATATCTACGAACTTTTATTATTGTTGATGACATGAACTCAAATTATTAAAATGAAAAAAGAAAAAATCAAATCTAACTAACTAAAAAATTATTAATACAAACAAGTCCAAATTAAACGATTTGTCAATAAAGCCAAATCACAAAGATAATTATCCTCCCATTTAGCTAATTTAAGACCGGCAGCTTGTTCAGCTTTGGCTTTTGGTCTTAATTCTTCAATAGCGTTTAAATATTTTTCATCACCCCAAATAACATAAGATAATTCTAAAATTTTAACATAATCGTTCACTTCAAAACCTTTAATATTCGTTACAGGCCAACCCTCACCCTCATTTAAAGCAAAAGGTAATAAAAAGTCAACAGCCTTACGTATACTTTGACCTTCAGGACCAACATAATTCCAAGCATCATAATCATAATGATCAGCTCTTTCGGCCAACATGAATAAACCTTGTAAATTAAAGATTGAATAAAACCATGAAGTTGGTCTATCAGTTTCATGTGGTTGTTGTCCCGTTGGTAAGATACCATTATTTACCCGATTCTCCATCGACGTTTTTATGAAAGATTTCGCCTCTTCGTATCTACCAAGGTAATCCAATAAAAATAATGCTTGTACATCATAAAATGTACCATGATTATTCTTGGTTTTACTTTCCCCTCTACCCAATTTAGATGTAGTGAACCAAACGTAATACTCTGATAACCACTCTTTTAACCCTTCCTCTATACTTGGATCCCATTTATTTGAAAATCTCATAAGTGGTATGGCTTGTAACATTCTAAATACTTGATGAAAATCTAAAACTCCAGTCCTCCATCCCATAACTTGACCTTTTCTAAAACCTGCATAATTTAAATTGGGGTTCATCTTGGTCTCTTCATCCAAAAACCATTCTTTAATACGATACATCGCTTTTTCTACATAAGTTTCATTCCTGGTAAAAAAATATGCAAATCCTAAATCTTGTACATCCCTAAACATTTTTCGCATATAGACATAATCTAATACGGTGAAAAATTCTGGGTTAACATATCCATCTTTACGTATATAAGGTAAACCGTCAGGTTTGGTTGGATCTGGCCAAAAATATCTTCCTAATGACATATAATCATGTATATCCCCTGATGGTGGTTTTTGTGGTTTTAAAGTGACGGAATATACTGTGTCATTTGCTACAGCCAAATCCGCAGCACGTGTTAACGATCCTATCGCTGTCTTATGTTGCTTACGAATTATATGAAGGAATGTAATGTATCCCTTAGCATTTAAATATTCTTTTTGCGTTCCTTTTGTATCAGTTATGGTCGTTGTTCTAATTGCATCAATAACTGGTCCCGGTGAATTATTATTAAATATTGGAAAAATGTCTTGTGAACCTTTGTCCGTACATTGATTGTGTTGATAACTTGTTGGCCAAAATATTAGAAGGAATATTGTAGCAACAAGTACAAAAATCAAAACCTTAGGTCTTAACAAAGTCATGCTAAAAATACTGAGAAGTTAAATTTTTTACAAAAGAAAAGTACAATTTTTTTTATTTTTTTTTTATTAATTTTATTTTTTATAAAGGGATCGGAGTTGAGTTTCGTTTCAGAGGAGGCAAGGTTATTATTGAATAAATTGAAATGTAACATATAGCACGTGACGAATGACTTTTCTAAATATGAATTGTGTAACAAATAAACCGATGAAATTTAATTTATTTATTTAACTGTTTTTTCCTTGGTCGTCGTGTTGATTTGGAATTTGATGTTCGTGATTTTTTCCGACTATTATTATTATTACTTTCGGAATCATTCTCATCGACATTATTATCTTCTTCCGCTGAATACAAAACGTGCTTGCTACCCTTTTTGCTAATGCTCCCTAATTCTTTTTCCTCATTATAATCATCTAAGAGGTCAATTATGTACTGTTCATCATCGGAATTTATTGAATCAGCTTTTGCGACTGACACATTATCCATTTCTTCATCAGATTTATGACTTTCATTCTTTTCAAATGAAGAAGCATCTCCCATTTCTACATCATCCGATTGTGAAGGAGTTGTTTTCTTTGTGCTATTCTCATCACGACTTTTTTCAGTAGATCTTCTCGAAGTTATTGACGCATTTTCACTTACATTGTCGTTTTCATTTTGCTTTTCTTCATCATCCATTTGTTCTACATCATCATCGTCCCCATCATCGTCATCATCATCGTCATCATTTAACACCGAATTCACTTCGTCTCTTGTATTCTCATCTGTCTTCATATCAGGATCAATTACATTTCCTTCAAGATCACGGCATTTAAGAGCTCCCATGAAAAATGCTTCAGGAGGGAGTTCATTATGCTGCAGCATAGCTTTAACTTGGTAAATTACTATTTCTAAAGATTTCTTTACAGCTGGAACCATTGCCGCCAACATAGTATCTTTAACCACCTTCACATGAGTGCAAAGTGTTTGAATATTTCGAGTTGCACTTTGGAAGTCTTTAAAAATTGCCAATATAGTTTCTCGATGTAACTTGAAACTTTCATCCATGAAAGGTAACATTTTTTTAACAAACAAGTCAATAAATCCCCGACCATATCTTAATATCACGGAGAGTATAGTCCGCTTATGATTTTTCTTTATAAAAGAAACTAACTTTTGCCAACAATAAACCATGTTGGTAAATTGTACCAGAATTTCTTCCGTAGTCTTGTTCATCTCAAACTCCCGTAAAGCTTCAATCAACTCTATAGATAAGGCCTTATAAAAATGCTGGAAAGTATCCTTACTAAATAATGGATTTGCTTGCAATACTTCCTCCTCACAATTTTCAAGAGAGGGAAGAACCAAATCGGCATAATATTTGATTCTCTCTATTTTATCTATTGAATAATGAATGTCTTGTTGTATAAGATATACGATTGAAGCAGGTTTCATTTGTTTTCGATCCTGCCATTGATAAGTTGCGAAATAACGTGCGATATCTCCAGATTTAGCAGACAGTTCATTTGTATCAGGTGAAAATTCATTAATCTTGCAAAGTATTTTATGAAACAAAATTGCCAAATTTGCAGTTGGAAGTTTTGATGAAAATTTAAGTAAATAATTAAATGCGTCCTTGGTAGAAATTTGAAGAATTTCGTGTTGTGTCAATGACGTCGTGGATTCAGAAGATGAATCGCCCCTTGAAGAAATTTGATTCAAAACATTGAGTAACGTGTGTACATTATCCGGACTTTTTAAATCAGACCATGAAACTAGTCGAAGCATGATTTCTAGTAATAATTCAAGACACCGTTTGGCTTCATTTTCCTCATCTTTCTCCAATAAGACGTCATTATCTGGGTCTAGTAAGTCGCATATAGATTCAAATTGATTTAAAAGAATCGGTAAATATTTTTCAGAGACTGTATTGACAATCTCTAACGCAGATTGTCGCGAAATTAAGCTAAATCCCTTGGATTTTGTATTAATCTCGTTCTTTTTCAACTTTTTGGCAAAAAAAGGTATATTTGTTATTGGTGCAGATAATTTGTGCTCAAGCTTTCGATCCAGATCTTCAAGAAGGTAAATAATCTCCTTTGGTTGTAATCGAATTATATCATCGGAGCCTTCCTTAGGTTCCTTATCTTTAAGTTCATCTTTGTTGGCCTCATCATCATCATTATCATCATCATCATCTCGAGGTTTTTTGAATTCTCCAAACTTTAGAATGCTAAATATTTCTATTTCCAATTCGCGCATCAAAGGCCTTAAATCTGCTGCACATGTGAATTGGGAACCAAAATCACTAGAGGATTTGCTCCGCTCTTCTTCTTCTTGTTCTTCAATCCTACGAGCACTTAATATCTTTCCTTTACTAATAGCTGATCGCCTTGCCGTCTTACCTACTCTAATAAGATTTCTTTGGGAAGAATTAACTGGTATGGAAACTGCTCTAATTTTTGTAACCGATTTTTGTGTAGGAACTCCAAATCCAAAGGGCTGAAAGGTTGGAGCTACTTCTAATAACTCAGTCAATAAATTCTCCAATTCATTTATATTCTGTAGCCTTGTTATAACTTTCTCTGATCAATTCAATAAAATTTAATTAGGCTTCATTACAAAAATTGATAATTTGAGTAGGAAAGATACAATGTTAAACTTACTACAAGTCGCATTATCAAAGTCATGCTGGCCCCAAAATGCGTTAACGATCTCTCGAAACCTAATGGTAACGTATTTAATTTAAAAAAATCGGACAATATAAAACATTTTTTGTATGTTAATGACTCACCAGTTAATTGCGTAAAATAACGAGTTACAGGTAGTTTCAAACATTAATTTCGTATAATTATTACTTTTCATATGCTAGAAGAATAAAATTATAAATAGTCTTAAATATTTAAAGGATTAAATACAACGAAAATTCGTGCACTTACGTCGGCTGTCTGTTTTTCGTACATGAGAATTCCCATACCCAATAAAGCATCGATATTTTCTAATGCTCCTTTATTACTGGCCTTTTCACATGCTTGCCATAATTTAAACATTGAACAAGAGCATATTATCCAATCGCGTTTTATACCAAGGTTGGTACGTACATCCGCGGATATATAAGGTTCACATAATAATGGATATATATTGTTAACTAATTCACCCTAATTTTTTTCAAATTTAAAAAAAAATTAATTTTAAAATAATATAATTAAATAAAAAAAGAATCTTTTCTTACATCTAAGTTCATCCAAGGTTCGATAGAAATCCTTGGAAAATGATAAGATTCCTTAATATGAACTGATACATCATCATTATCTAATATAAATAAATCTTGAAATGGGGAAGCCAAATTCTCATTGATCCAATTAACAAGTTCTTTATCTAAAAGATCACGAGAAACATAATAGGCAAGCTCATCATACGCAAAGGCAAGACAAGCCTTGAAGGATATAAAGTAAGTTTCAAAGGTGAAATATTAAATACATGTAAGTCAATTAATTATAACTTTACCATTGATCTTGCACAATGTCGTTCAATCTTTGTAAGATTTTCTTGTATCACATTTAAGAAAGGATTTTGCAAGTTCCTTTTTGAAGCTGTTAAAAACGTTTCAAAATTTCAATTAATTATTTAAAAAGAACGTGTAAAATAAAGACTTTTCCGAAAATAATTAGAGTTACCATCATTTGAACTCAATTCTTTAGCACCCAGAGTTTTCACTAAAGCTAAAGTTCCAATGACTCCAATTTGTTTATATTTTTCGCTAGAATTCGACAATTGTTTCTGAATAACAATTGAAAATTCGGAAAGCAAACTACTGCTACCATCCTCATAGTTAGCATCCTTCAGCAATTTTAATCTAAATTAGTTAACCGGATTCATGCTTGTTACATTAAAATATTGAGTCTTTACCTCATATACTAGTTTACTTAACACGTCGAATAATATTCTTATCTGATCCACTGATAAATTATCCAAATAATCTAAGATCCCTTTCACAAAAATTGCGAATCGACTTAATTTTGCGAGAGTTGCTTCAGCAAGATGTGAAAGCACCGATAACGCAGAATCTGTCTCAGTATTTGAGCCACTCCCTATATGCGTTACTAATGAGACTACAATCTCTTGTTGTTCATAAGTTTCGAATACTATGAATGTACTATGATATAGTGAACAAGCTGCCCGTGCTAACGTTGCTTGTTGTTGACTGGATCGAAGAAGACTTTCTGATAGTGAAATAATATTATTAAAATATCCTTGCAAGCCTTCGTAATGACACGCGATGGTTTCTTCCAAAAGTTTTCTGGTAAATAAACCACTTTCAATTTTTTTACGAAAGATATTTTCAACTTTTTTTTTTATACCCGGAATGGAATGCATGATCAGCAAAATTAATATGTCAATAATCATGTGATTTGCCTAATGAAGGGAAATAAAAATCAATTAATACTCCTCAAAAAATCTTAAATCTTTAAGTCAAAAATCGTGTACCGGCACTTTAACATCGTTAATGACTTTAATCCATGCGTCCATAACGAATTTATGAAATTGAATTCCATTTTTGATTGAATCAAGAATTAAGGATTCGGGAATGTTCTCTTTTTTCTTTTTCTGATTACGCTTCGATTGACTGGCTTCATTTTGTAATCTTCCAATTGATCGAAAATCGACCTTTTCTCTAATTTGCCTCACGATCTATAAAGGTAATTCATTAATATTCAATTCTTTTAATAATGATATGAAAACACGAGTGACAAAAATGAAAACATACTTCATTAGCATCTTCAGAGGTAGCTGTCTGAAGCAAGAATTTGACAACAAGAGGTAAATCTTCCAAGTCTGCTGAATCGAGTCGATCAAAGACCGTTTCCCGAACGTTATTCATATAATCTCCTTGAACTGTAAAGTTGGAAAGAGCATCAAGAATTGGGACTATTAACCGATGGTTTTGATCGATCAGTTCTATCAGAGCTTGGATAACCGTCTAAAGGAAGGTGTTGTTATATGTTGAGAATTTAATTTATAT